CTGTTAAATTTCCCAGGATATCCGTGTATTTGCAAATACAAACAACAATACATCCCTGGAGGGAGTGCAACAAGAGAAATAACTGTTATTCAGAAGTTAAAACAACTTTAAATGCAGTTTGAGGAACTTTAAGAGGGAAACAACTGCATACATTTTATGTAATTACTCATTTATTCTGTAATTTTCTTCGTGTTTCTTCATGACAGCATTTGGGCAACCTTCTGCTATGTAGTCATTTCTATTGTTATAAGATACCTCTTACTATTAATGGTAGTTTAAATTCACTTTTCATGTATTTATTTCTCTACTGTGCTTATGCTAATACTGAAAATTTTCCTCTTTCTTATTATTCTTGCTATGGGGGACACATTGAACAAACTATGTGGCAGTCTTCTGAGCAGAAGTTGCCGGAAATTTCTCTTTTGCCTTAAATAAGCTAGTTTTTTAGATGCGAAGTTTAGCCTCATCCTATAGATTTGTATATATTTTCCAAGAGAAATCAGTCACATATTTTCTTTACTGTTTCTTTGACACACCTGAGCTTTTATTTAATTTTATTCTTAAAATATAATTAAAATTTTCATAATGCCAAGTAATCCATTTGGTCAAAAGAATTTGGTCAACAGTGACTTCTATTTCTTAGCAGTTTCTGCTGCAACAGTTCCCAGCACTTTTTTATAATGGCATCATCAACATAATGTTCTGGAAATGATCCAAATGTTTGCCGTGCTTTTAAAAAAGTTTAAGCTGTGAGGACCTTGGATCTCTTAATTATAAAATGGCAGAATGATGTTTCTATCCATAGGACTATGCAAAGTATCAAAGTAATCAAAGTATCAGATTGCAGTTGTGAAAATACTTGCCCAGTGAAGGGTGACAATTACAGCCAATGAGTGCTATGATTATCATTATGGCCATTATTAGTCTTATTTTCTCCTGACGTCTCCACTATTTAACTAGTTTCTATTTATAGAAGATAGGATGATGACATCCCATCTATTAAGGAAGCAATGATTTTCCACCTCACTTTTTCAATAAATTAAACAATTCTATTTCAAGTTAAAGAGCATTTAAAAGTTCTCCAAGACAATTCACTCACACAGATAAGCACAGACCTTCACTGGTACTGTTTGTATTTGAGGTTTCTAAGGGGTTTTCTCAATGGAAATGTTAACTGGAACAATAAATATAAAATCATCAAAAGTGATTAAGACATATGATGATGTTATTCCCAGTAAAGGACAGTTGAATTACAGACACTGAATAATCTTCCCAGCATTCTCAGAAACTAGGTGAGATAAGAAAATAGAGGTTTACATGTGGCCACGTTTGGAGTCAAATGAAGAGAAGGCATAATCCTTTATGTATAGAAGATATGTGTACTATCAGATTAAAGACTAAAATGGTAATTATTTATCCTATTCACCTTGCTTCTCAGAGAAACTTGATCTTCCTAGTAGAAAGTATGCTTTCCAAGAGCCTATAATCTTATTGCTCCAGTGTAATATCCAGGGGGAATGAGAAAGCTGAACATGTCAGGACACCATTTTTCAAAAGTTTATAGAGTTGCATCAAGGCCTGATTCAATTTGTCATTCTTACATGAGTCCAGTCAAATAAAGAAACTCTTGAATAGGTACAGGGAAAAATGAGGTCATCCTTGTAAGTTTGCTTTGGAAAGAAAAGCACCATTTAAATATAAAACATAGACTTTTCATAAAATGCATGGAATATTTAATCTTTACTAGAGTAGAGGGTCTAAGAGAAATAATCTATACACTGGTATCCAAAAATCAATTTTAGGAAATAGGTGACATCACTTGTCTATGACTTTTCCGAAGTTAATCCCTTACTTGAGCTCATGATGGTTATTTTTGTCAGCAGCTACAGCTCCATATTTAATGTCCCCTCCTTGCCTCAGCTCAAGTGTCCTGAATTCAAAGAAATTTTTCCTTGAACCTAATTCTCCCTGAAGCAGTTTTAGTCCTCTTTTCCCCTTTAACTTGTCAACTTTGAAAGAGATGCTTGCATCTGCTGATATCTCTGCTTTGAATTCACTCCTCAACCCAGTGGGCTTCTAGTTCTATTATCTTCACTCAGGTATCAACCCAAACCTAGCAATTATAGAAGGTAACTGGTTCTTCTAATTTCTCCTCATCCTCTGGACAGTTGTTTCTGCTCTCTGCTCTTACCCTTTAACTGTAGTCTCATTTCCCATAGAGTTCTATCCTCTATCATGTAAAACCCAAATTCATTATCCATTATCTGCCATCATGTTGTCCACCCTCTAACCTGTGTTCCTCAAGTCAATATCATCACTCACTTACTTGTTCAGGGTGAAAACTTCAGCATCCTTTTTGATTTTCCTACCCACTGGCTGTCCCCCAACACACACACACACACACACACACACACACACCATTTTGTAAGTCTCCTGCCACTAGACCAACTTCATCATCCAACCTCCACTTCCTTCACCTGGGCTTGCATTATGTTTAGCGAACTTTGTTTCTACAAATTTTAACATGACCTATTTGCCCATAGTCACTTCACTCTCTACAATCATTTAACAATAGAGTAATCAGAAGCAATAAAAATAAGAATATGAGCATGTCAAATCCCAGCTAAAAACCTCTGTGACTCTCAGGTCCCATAGACTGGATTCAAATCTTCTTTCTCTCCTGCCACATTTCACTATTGACATCAACGAGACTGTCGCTGTTTAAGTGAGCCATGATTTTCTAGGCCTCTCCTTATGCAAATGTTACCCCCCTTAGCTGCCTTTCCCTGACTGGCAAACTGTCTTCCTCTCTCTGCTCCCATAGTTTTGTAAATGCCTCAAGGATGGTGCTCACCATTTTTTATTATAATGATCTAAAACGTCAGCCCTCCCACTATCTGCAGATTGGCAGCTTTGAATATATCATATTTGCTCAATAAGTGTTTTCATTATGTGTGAATGAGTAAATGAATGTCTTGAATTTCAAATATGAGAATATGGGACAAAAATAACATAGAGACTGGGCCATTGGGAAAAGCAAGTTGTTTTGGGGTGAAGAAAAATGGACACCATTGTCCACATTATACAATGAACTAATGATGAACATATACTAATAACGAGCATAATAGTTGAATAGAAACTATAAATTCCCAGAAAGCATTTAAGTGTTACATATCTGGAGCTCAACTGAGGTTACACGACAAGAGATACTGAACAGTATGTCATTTGATGAAAGCTGATAGTTGAACCCATACACAAAAGAGTTTCTCAAAGCACAGACCAGAGGTCAGGGGCTATATTTTGGGGAAATATGTTGCAAGGTGGTAAAATATGCTGGTGAAGAGGAGGTTTGTGAGCAGGAAGGAAGAGATGACACACAGTGATGAGGCCAGGAGATGAGATGCACCTTATATTTCCTCTAACGACTGGCACCATTCCTTCCACCCTACGGGTAACTGAGAAATATTACTTAAATTAATGGATTTTCTGAGGTCAGTAGGAATGGAAGATAGATTTCAGAATATCAACGCAATACAACATGGTAAGGAACCATAGAGAACAGATGTAGATCTGTGGGATAGAGGCAGGAGGATAGGGAGACCTAGAGCTGACTGAAAAATTTTCATCGCCAAAAAAGCAGAGAAAAACAAAAGTAGAATTAAATATTTTTGGAAAGATGGTCTAGATATGTGCATAATGAAAGCTAGGTGGTGAGACACCTTCACCTGTAGCTCACAGGGACACACATTAGGGCTTACATGTCATCTTTCCCAGTAATGACGAGATCTGAGACCTGTCATTCCATGAGATGATTAGTTAACTGAGATCAAGAATCCTGTCTTACAGTTTTCTTATATCTCCTGCAGTGCTTCAAACAAAGACAGCTACAAAAGAGGAGTTTAGTAATTCAGTATTTGAATCAAAATGACTGCAGTTTCGTTGTTCATTCCTAGAAAGAATATAGTATCATCATCTTACAGCTATTAATAAAATGGCAACCAGAACCACAGGTTGTGAGAAATGCGTAAAACATGATTTCATTTCTAGAGCCTCATTTACACCTATTGGGCATACGTTGATCATCTGTTGGCATACCATGAATAACACTAACCCTCAGGGACCCCATACCACCTAATTCCTATATGATTAATTGCAACTTGTACTGAGTTTTTGAGATGGTGTCATGAAAGATGGTGAGTGTTTTGGACAAACGTCCAGATGCAGAGGAGGAAAGTAGAGACCGACTCTATACAGGGGCAGTTACAAATGATAGCACAAGTATTGAGTGAGAATAAGGTCCTAATTAGGAGCTTCCAGAAATTAGAATACTAATGAACACAACAGTAAACACAAAAATGGAGTGTTCTGAGAAAACGAGTTAACGACGGTATATGATCTGCAAACCTGCTTATCAGTTTTAATTATTTTCCAAGCTGTGCCATGTCTTAAATGATATTCAAATCTGTCTAATGTTTTCAGTGCTTGCCTCTAGTGATTAATATTCCAAAAATGGTTTAATTTTAGCAAAACCCTCCCAAGATCTCTCAAATGATATGGCAAACCAGTACAAACATCTATAGAGTACCTCAACTGAGATATATTCAAACTGCTATTCATTCTATTACCACAAGGTTTTCAAACTGAGTTTAAAGCATTTTGAAATATTAGGAAATGTTCATGTGGCTAGGTAGCTAAAACTCAGGTCCTATATGAATATAAGCTAATATTTTAAGTATAAATGTTACCATTAAATATTTAACTTTCACTTTTCTCAGACTGTATTCTCTGAGAAAATAAATGTTTCTTTTCAAGAGTGACAGGGTACTCAAGTTAAATCCACCATTTATCGCTTGTATAATTTTACTCACTATTCTTTCGAACATAGAGAATGATGCAGTTGAACAAATGTCATTGGTTTTCTTATGTCACCAACCGACCAGATAAATGTACCTGATTTTCTAGAGAAGCTCCCTCTTCCCTTTTCTCATCATTGTACTTACATATCACTGGCAATGGAGGAGTTCCGGGACATAGACTTTGGAGACAGGTCATAATCGCTATCGGATCGATACAGAAAGGACTCTCGACGTTGACTGTGGACAAAGTTTGCTTGGAGAATTAGCCCAGATCCTGGGCTGGTCATGGGATCCAAGGGACTCCGTCCCGCAGATGTGCCATTGTCCACATCAAAACTGTAAAAGAAGGAGAAGGAATAACATTGTTATGAATGCTTACATGTTGATATTTTAGTAAAGGGAGATTTCGGTTTAGGAAGTCAAAGTGGGAACATGTACAGCTGATTCCCACTATTAAGAAATGATAATATTAAAACACACAAAAGTAAAAAAGGACACATAGCTTCATATTCTTGTCTTCCTTAAGTTTTGGGTACTTTTGTTAATCAACTAGGTACAAGACATGTGTCTCTCTAAACTTGAGTTAAAAAGGAATCATTCTGCAAAGAATAGTTCTCCTAAGTAGATTCTACTAAGGAACCATTCTACTAAGAATAGTTCTACTAAAATTCTTTAGGAAAAGAACAAATACATAGTAATCCTGTAACGATCTGGGTTCAATTCAACAAGTTCCCATTATATGCCTAACATCATCGCTTCCCCAAACCTGGGCTCTCTCTTCCTCCTGCCTACACCCATCCAAACACGAATTTCTGCTATATCCATTTCCCTCCATCCTCAAATCTAATATATTAAGTTCAGGATTTCATCAACTCTCACCTACATTATTATAAGACCCTTTAAGTTAGTCTCTTGAATCCATTTTCCACTCTGTAACCCTGTGGAGAGTCTTCCTAAAGTGTACACCTGACCATGATCTTTGTCAGTTCAAAACCTTTCAGTAGTTCACTACTGTCCTCAGGATAAAGTCCGAATTTCTGGGCTAGACTGACAGAGTCTGAACTATCCATGTTCAGTTGCAATTAACCATTTTCCCAACCTCAATATGCAACCTTCTTCCGTCAGCCACTTTATGCTCCACTCACTGAACTACTCCCTCCTTGTCTCACTCAGGCCATCATTACCTAATCTCCTGCTCCCCTGACTACTCAACCCTCTTATCCCCCGCCTCATTGTTACTCATCCTTGAAGACTTATCCTTTCCCTGAAAAGCTGCCCTGATGTCCCACACCTTTATGAAATGCCTTTCTCTGTGCTCCCAGGACATCTCCCTGCTCCCTATTGGTAGTATTTACAACGAATTGAAAATGCTTACCACTTGGTCTCCATTCCTAGACTGTTAGTTCTCTGAGAATAGAGACTCTGAGTGTTCTTAGCACTTCACATGGCAGCTCAGAAACCGTTACTAAGCGGTTTGGATAGATGACTGAATAAATAGAAGGTACTGTGCTGGGCAATTAGAGTTGGGAAAAGACAGAACCACAAATGCACAGTTCTTAACGTCACGGTCCTTACAATTGAGATAAACTTTCTACAAAGAGCTTTTCTAGTCAGATATCAACCAGTATTAACGTCAAGTCTCACATGCTCTTATGAGAGGACTGTAATAGCTCAGATAGCCCAGTAAGTACGTGGTTTAAAAAACTGTTGAACGAATAAATAAATGAATTCAAGTTTAGTTGTTATCAATGTTTTTCCTATTACATTTACCCAAACTATTAACTAACTAATTTAAAAACATTCTTTTACTTTCTCCATTGGAGTTATTAATAAATAGTGTTATGACCCCAAGATTGGAGGCCTATGTGGAAGATAAGTGAAGGGTTTGATGTTTCATGAATCACCTATGAGGCTATAACTAAATAAGAAACACTGACTCCAAATTAATCCATCTAGTAAAAAAAAAAAAAAAAAAGAAAGAAAAACCCATAATCTAATTTGGTCATTCATATATAAGTTTTCCAATTTAAATTTTTTAAAGAATTACATCACTTTATAGATGTATTTATTTGGTCACGAAAGACAATGAGAAGTTCTCGAGTTGAACAGTCATTTTATAGACATGGATACCAGTTCCTAGAAAAGTTAATTGACCAAAGTTACTGAGCTAACTAGATTTAATCATCTACTGTTCCTGAAACTCTTCCAGCTCTAATGAACAATTGTGTAAACCATAAATGTATGTTAGCAACTGTGACATGCAAGCAGGGGACATCTGTTTCACCTGGACAAGGCACTTCATGCATGTGGGACTTTAGGCAATCCTGAGGGTGGCCAGAGGGGGAAAGGATCTCCAATCAGGAGACACTTATTCAGGACCTCAGACAAGCTCTTCTTGGATATGCTTAATTAAATGAGCACTTGTTGGGGCGTCTGGGTGGCTCAGTCGTTGGGCGTCTGCTTTTGGCTCAGGTCATGATCCCAGGGTCCTGGGATCGAGCCCCGCATTGGGCGCCCTGCTCCGCGGGGGGCCTGCTTCTCCCTCTCCCACTCCCCCTGCTTGTGTTCCCTCTCTCACTGTGTCTCTCTCTGTCAAATAAATAAATAAAATCTTCAAAAAAATAAATAACTAAAATAAAATAAATGAGCACTTGTTAAGTACCTATTATGAGCACACTAAGATACAAAAATAAAGGTGATAAGATTAATCCAAGCTGGGTTTAATCCAGACTTCTGAGAAGTTTTCATATAATAGTAGTATTTTAAGAGGGCTTTTGAAGGTATTTAGTATTCAGCTGAAAGACACTAAAGTCCTTTGAATGGGAAGAGAAAAAGGGGAGATTTCTGCTCTGGGGACACAGTCATTGCAGCTCTTCAGTATGAGAAGGACCTAATGTGAACACATAAGAAAACGTTTATGTCTATTTCCCTTCAATATCAAGATGCTCTTACTGTTTTAATAAAAATACTCACTGCTATGCATAAGCAGAAAAAAAAGAGATACAGGAATGTGACAGTTCAACTGAGTAATACCAATACAATCCCCCAAATCAGTAAATTCTTTTTTTATTATTACAATTTTTCCAATTAAGTTAAGCAACTTCTTAAAGAAACTTTTCACTCTAAGTTTTGGAAAAAAATAGTGCTAAGTATCTTAAAATATTTAATAGTCTTTACAATAATGCTACTTATTAAAACCAAAAATTTATTAATAGGTCAATAAAATGCTTGATACGAGATAGTGTAGGGGGGCTTTATTTTTCTATGTAGGCTGTAATATAAAAATTTCTCCACTAGATGGAGACCACCACCTTAAGGAATATCTATTGTCAATAAAGGCCAAAACTATTTTTTAAACTCACGAAAACAACCACTTAACGATTATCCCCAAAATAAAACCTCACAATCTGTAGGAAGTGATTACCAAAGGTTGGTAAAATTATATAAACTAGTAAATATTAGTATTAGGTTGACAGATTGAGAATGATCGAAAAGATGGTCGCTGATGTTTTATTAGACATTTACTTAAAACCAAAAAAAACCCTGAGAAGCTCTTTTGTTCAAAAATTAGAACTAAGGAGCTTCCTTCAGAGAAGACAGGTTTGGGACAAATCAAGGCAGTACTGCTTCTCTCAATGAATAGCAAATTAACTGAGAGTTGATTTAGGCTGAAAATATAGACAGGTTCACATAAGCTACTTATTTTTGAAACATAACTTTATAAACAGTCCATGTCAAGGCATGATTAATAAAACAAGAAGTCAGTGAGGGTTAACCCTAACCTTAGATATTAGAACAAAAGAGACCAGCTGTGAACTTCCTAAGCACATTCTTTGGCAAACACTTTCAAATAACGAATTCTCTAGTGACTCAGGTCTAAGAGATAGAGTCCAAGTAAAAGATTAGCAGAAGCTTGGGAAAGTAATTGAAGAATTGGGGAGGGTAATAATGATGATGGTGATAATAGTAATCATAATGATGATAATGACAGTAAAAGTTTTGGAACACTTTCCAGGAGCCAGACCTTGCGCTCTGTGCTTTATATACATTATCTCATTGAATCCCCACAATAACCCTTTGAAGTAGGCATTATATTTTCCCCTTGACAAGTGAGTAATCTGAGTCACAGAGAAGTAGCTCTATGTTAAGTAATGTGTTCAAAGCTATGCAGTTTGTAAGTGGGTTTTAAACTCAAGGTGTCTTGATTCCAGAGCCCAGGTGAACGATCCCTGTGTGTCTGTCTCTATTGCAAATCCACCTACTAACCATTAGAAAAGTGGCACAGGAGCTTCCTTCCCTGGATGGAACTTCAAACGTTAACTCTTTGAAAGGATCATTCAAATATAAGTATCATTAACTTATAGATCTGGCATGCCAAGCCTAATTCTGAGACTGCCTTCGTAAGTCCCCAAATTTTGGAATTGGCCACATTTCCTATTTTTCCAGTTTTGAATACAACAGTAAGGTGTAAAAAAGTGTTTACTGTAACCCATCTGATGGATTTCTTTATAGAGTTTAAGCGTTCATTTGGAATAAGGATAGTCAGTGGGTCTGCACAAGGTCTTAGCAAATGGAGCTAAGTGAGATGCTCTGTTATTCTACATGTTTGCTGTCCTTAATGCAGTTCAAGGATGCATACATTCCCCAACGGAGCTGGTTTTCACCCAGAAGGCATCTGTGGAGAAACACCGATGCAGCTGTGGATGGCCCCCCACAACGGGGCGGGAAGAGTAATGGTCAGCTGACCTGTTGCAGTCAAACTGTTAAAGGCCATGTATACTAGGACTACTCAGGACAATTCCCTCCCCAGGCCCATCTCTTTCTGTGGGCCCCATTCCACACAAAAACCAAACAGATAACAGACAAACTGACCAATCAGCCAAACGGCTCCCTACCTCTCCACACGGTGCCATGTGGGTAGAATTACTGGCTACCTGTCCTGACCCACCTTCCCTCCAGCTTCCTCCACTGCTCCCACAGTTTGGGTCTCCTGATCTTGCAACTTTTTTGCTTGGAGTCATTTCCCACCCTTTGGCCTGATGCTCGACGCTGCTTCTGGTTGAGACATTTTGCCTCTCTTCTTAGCCATAATTTGGCTCTCCCCTAAGCCATAGTCCTGCTATTGCGCTGGGTAAGCAGCTCATCTCATGTAGCCTGACCCTCAGGACCTTGCATCTCCAGGGTGGAGCCCAAAGGAGGTGAGACACATGAGGACTCCAGGGGGGCAGCTGCTGGAAGCCCCTATCAACAGATGTCCCATTATCAAAGCATCTGTGAAGAGCTCCCAAGGGAAGACCCCAGAGAGAACTAGCAGCTGCTGAAAGCTGTATGCTGGT